CCCCCCCCCCCGCGTCCACCCCCCGGGGGGGGGAGGGAAGAGGGGAGATTAATCGTGGCGACCGGAAAAAAAAAAAAAAAGGTGGGTTAGGAGCGATCTTCCCCCGCTGGGGGGAGATTTCACCAGCCAACGAGCGCGCCAAGTCCCGGAACTCCACGGACGGGGCCATCGCCCCAGGGGAGGGGGGCTCAGGCGCGCGCGGGCCCGCGCGCGCGTGCGCGCACCCTCCCGTGGGTATGCGCACGCACCCGGCGAGAAGCACATCCATGGCTGCCGATGGTCATCAACTCACAACCGACCGTCGCGCGCATGGCTCTGGCCGGAGCGCCCCTTGCCCGTGCGTGGTCTGGAGCCGATAACAGCAAGGGGGGCGCGCGCGCGCGAGCAGGGGGGGACAGGGGAGTGCCCGGAGGGGGAGGACTCGGGGACACCCGACGTGGTCTCGCGCGCCCGGACCAACTCGCCCGGCGCCGTGCGTGAGGGCTGGCCGGCGGCCGGTGTGGCTCCCGACCGGAGCCAGTGCCGCCAGCCACCCCGCACGCCCCGGACGGACCGGGGAAGTGCACCGTAGGGCGCGTGGTGCGGTTGGAAAAAAATAACAACCCCCAATGCGGCGCAGCTCCCCAGGCCCAAGGGCAGTCACGGACACACACACACCCGCCGGCCCGGGATAGGTCTGAGCAGTTACAACTGGCCGGGCAGACGCACATGCATGAGGCCGCCCAGCGACAAGAAGCCTGACGCCCCGGATCTGGCAGCAACGGCCCGACCGCGGAGCAGTCGCCAACGGGCGCTCCAGGCACGCATGCGAAGCGCCCAGGCGGGGGCATGTGTGTTTTCCGCATGTGTCGTCGGATGGCCGGGCTCGAGCGCCGGCTCGTGAGAGCACCGGTGCCCCGGGCGCCGCGCGGCCGGTCAACACCCACATCGTTGGCGGGCCGCCGGACATCATTGGGGAGCGAGGCCGCCAGTGCGGGCGCACATCCGTAGGCCCGGAGCGCTGGAAGGTGGTCCGTGGTGTGTCGCGCGCGAGGCCGCCGCACTGGCGGCGTCGGGTGCGATGGGGGCACGGCGAGCGCCGGCAGCCGCCGCGAAGCTTGACGGCCCGACGGACCGGCCCCGCGCCGCGGATGAACCTGAGAAAGGCAGGAAGCTCCCTCGAGGTGCGGCGCGCCCGGGGCGCGTTTCGTCGGGCAGGCCGGCCCATCTTCGAAGGCGGGCGGAAGGGGGGCCATGACCTGGAAATAGGGCGGAAAAAAAAGCCTCCGCATGCCACACGCCCGCAGAATGCGCGCCAGGCCCCCGGAAGACGTCCCATCTCACACCAGCCTCCGCGGGGAGGGGGGGGGGGCAGAGCCGCCAAGAGAGTCCGAGCCTGCGAAGCGGAAAAAACGAGCTCCACCATGAAAATAAAGCTCCACCCCCAACAGGAGCCCGCCCAAACGCCGGCCGAAGGGAGGCCGGTGAACCGGCCCCTCCGGGTGAACATGCAGGTCGGGCGGCCGGCGTGGCTCCCGCAGGGCGCGCACTTGTGAATGTGCATTTGCCGGCGAATGTGGCCGTGTGCTTGGGAGCATGCTCAAAGGGGGGGGGGAGGGACGTCTGCCTCGGGCCACGGAGGAAAGCCCAGCGGCCAGGACACGCCGACCGGCGGGAGCGCCCGGCACGGCGCGAGGGCCCTCCACACCGACAGGCCGCCCCACCGGCCCTGGTGAAAATGGGGCGCTAGGGAAAATTGGTCGAGCGCGTTCGTGGCCGTGTGTGGAGCGAGCCGTGCCGAGACGCGCCCCGGGCCCCGCCCGCCCGCCCCGTGCTTCGCGTGCGCCGGTTGCTCCGCCTCCTTGGCGCGGGGCGGGCACCGCGCGCTGCCCAAGCCGAAAGGCCCCTTGCCCGCTGCAGGGGGGGGGGGGGGCAGGCGCACCGGGGGGGGGGGGCACATCATCCCCCGCCCCCTCGCGGGGCCCAGATGATTGACCGGTCTACCCAAAAGGCGTGCCCCAGCTCGCGCCCCCCTGGGCGAGTCAGTTGCCCCGGATGAATGTTGTTTGTGCCCAATAACCCGACACACCCGCATGTGGGTCTCCCGTTCGGCCCAGCTCCCAGGAGGGTCAGAGCCCCAGGGGCGGCATGCCCAAGAATGGCCGGACCGCACGGCCGTGCGCCTTTGACAAGCACCTCGCGCCGGACGCCCCGAAATACAGGCTCCCATGGCCAATCGCATGGGTCTACTAGCGCGGCAGGCGAGGCGCGGCCGGCGGGTCGCCGCACCGGCACATCCGCCCAAAGGAGCAGGAGGCGCTCGCCGCCCGCCCCCGGGCTCCCGGCGTCGAGACACCCCGCCACCACGTCCACACGAGAAGGACCAGACCCCGGCGTCCGTGGTGAGCCGGGCTGCCTGCGGTCCCGGAGGCAGTGGCGGGGCCCCCCCCCCCCCCCCCCCGCCCAGCAACCCCCCGCGCACTGGTGCAGCCGCATACCTCGGCCTCCCGGGGGCCCGCGGCATGACAACCGATCACCCCCGCACCACCCAGGCCGGGCCGCAAGCCGAGCTCGGGAGGCAGATGAGGCCCAGGTACCAGCTGGGCATCTGCCCCCCCCCCCCCAACGGAGAAGGGAACGGAGGCAGGTCCAGAAGCACTGCCACGTTGGCGCGGGCGGCACCTGCAGGAACTCGAGCTCTCCAGGTCAAGCGGGATCCAGCTGGTGAGGGAAGACCCGGGGAGAGAGGGGCGGGGGGGGGGGGGGGGGGGGGGGGGGGGGGGGGGGGGGGGGCCGGGGGGGGGGGGGGGGGGGGGGGGGGCTGGCGCCTCTTTCAGTCCGGGAGCGAGGAACTTGAGCCGGGGCCGCATGTTGGCCCTGTCCCCAGCGGGCCGTCGTATTGCCCTGGCG